GTGTTTATATTTACTCGTTCAACGTTTGAATAAAACAAAATAAAAGATGGAACGATTAAATCTAATCTTATTCTGACGGGCATACAGTAAAAGCGCACTTAAGCGTTTTACCATTTTCCGCTCGGCGGGGTATACCATATGGTTTGACGGAGTCACCAAGTTGAATTCCTAAAGCCACCGTTCGTGCATCGTACAAAAGACGCGGGGATTTTCTCCGCAGACGCGAGGACAACATTATTTGCGGACACGTCTTACCCACGTTCCAAGCGAGTTCGGCATCTTTAGGTACGCGTGAAATAATAAATACAAAACAAAAAGTGCCCATCACACCAAGTCCGAGCACGGCCGACGCTATGTCATCCAACAGAGTTATCAGGTGGCTCCAAATGTGTATCCTCACGATGTTCTTTGTCTTTGTGCGTTCTGTATCGCCGACTAAAGTTGGTAGACCGCTCCACCTGTAAAGGAGAGGTCCCGGGTTCGATACCCGGACCAGGCGGATTTTTTCGGTCGCTCACCAGTCACCTAGCTGTGTTTGGAGATTTATGTTTGTCTTTTGTTCCTCTCGTTCCCCTTCTCCAGGGATTATTTTCGTCATTCTTGTCCAGCTCGCTTGCACCTTTGCATTTAATTGCATTATAAACATAACCTTAAATTGCAAACTTCACCCTTGTTGTTGTGAGTCTGGTGGCAGGTGATAAAACCCGTTTGCTCTACTGACGTCTAACCCCTGGTTAGCTCAGTTGGTAGTGCACTCCACTGGAAATGGAGAGGTCCCGGGTTCGATACCCGGACCAGGCGGATTTTTTCGGTCGCTCACTAGTCATCTATCTGTGTTTGGAGATTTGTGTTTGTCCTTTGTCCCTCTCGTACCCCTTCTCCAGGGATTACTTTCGTCGTAAACGAACCACGCGGAGAAAAAAAAAAACTTTCAGCTTTTTTATTTTTGTGAATTTTTTGTGAAGAAGAAAGAGCAGAGGAGCTGTACTATGCGCCGCCATTTTAGAACGACGGCGGCAACCAGATAACAGGCAAGCCGGTTGTCTGATTGCCGCCGTCGCTGACATGATAGCGGTAGCGGTCCAGAGGGTTGTGTCGAGATTTAATTGGCCACGGGTACAAAATGTATTTGGACAAAGCGCAGGGTCACGGGTAATTAATTCACTGTGCGCGTTTGATTTGACCGGCACGCGCAAGAGACGACGAGCGCCATGACGAGCACGTTTGTCCACAGTGGACAACGGAGGAGTGTAGACACCTTTCCGGCGCTTATCAGCGAGGCGAAAAATGCCGAGTCACTGAGCCGTGGACGCTTGCGAAGCGTCTGATATGCCGCACAACGGAGCAACAGCGTCTGCTCGGAAGGCGTTCGTTCCGCAGCCCGCAGCAGATAAAGATGGCGGCTCGCAGACGGCTACTTTTTTTTTTTTAATGCCGCGTATGGACCGTTGTACGCGCTTCATAGCACGCAGTTTTATGGGCCAGTGTCCAAAATCCTAGCCCCAACGATAAAAAAAATAGTAAATAATATTTTCAAACGCAGGCTCTTGCGAAGAGAGGGGCTGCGCATAAAACAAGATTGTTTCGCTTTTTTACGGCACTTTCGGCATTGGTGTTGTTCTTGGAGATTTGTGACTATGCATTTCTGACCTCGCACAACAATATGTTCAAAAGCTAAAAAAAAAGACAAAAAACATTTTGATTTTTGCAAAAGGCGCAGCAACCCCTTTTATGTTATGGCGTGAGCATAAACAAACATGGCGGCACCCGTGGAACAAAGCAGACACTAGTCTGTATCAGACAGCCAGGATTGTTCTGTTCCGTCAGGCTGGGTCCATGACCCCCCCTGACTGGCTGGGACGAAGCTGCGTTCTGAGAAGCGCCTCCGGGCACAAAAGATCGAGATCTGGGACCTTGGACTCGACAAACACGAAGTTCGGCAACAAAGTTTATCGAGCGTGCCGATTGGGCACTCGTCATGCGTCATGGCGCTGCACTTTTGTCGCCGGTTCAATCGGCGTTCTCCGCGAACCGACTGTCAAGCCCCTGGTAGCGCTTGTCCACGTTATTATTATCATTTTTTTGTGTGTGTGGGTCCCTGTTGGCGTATTCAAGTTTCTAGAAAAAAAACAAAAAAACTTTTTGTCTGTAATTTAATGAATCCCGAAGAATAAAGAAAAAAAGTATATATATATATATATATATATATATATATATATATATATATATATATTGTGTAGCAAAGGGCCGGTTACGATTTGGGCATAGCTGCACACATTCGCCATTGAATGTTGTCTCACAGGAATAAGAACGACTTCTATTTACGCACGGATACAATCAATATTACAGACGGAGACGGTTTGTCTAGGCTACTTCAATAAGTTTAACGAGCCATTGTGCAACAATTTGTCAGCTTAGTAACAAAAAAAAGAAAAGAAAAAGAAGAGCGATTTTGGCGTGCGCGAATGAACGCAGAAGCACTGAACTACACGCACGTGTAACACACGACACAAGCAGAGGACGTGCACCGCCTCCCTTCGGCCGTAAGCGGCTGCTTAATTTACAACCTACGGGGCCGCTTAACGGTCATAAACGGATCCGCAGACGCGTCATTTTTGCTGCCCTTTCAGATGGCGCGTACACCTGGCACGTCGAACGTGACATCGTGAGTCCGGGAGCCGAGACGTGTCGTTGGTCCCCAATGAGGCGTTCATGCGAGAACACAGGGATCGAATGGCCGTCGGCAGGGCTGCCCTAGATCTCGAGCTTCCCGCGCGGCCATAATGGAGTTGACGGGATTTCCCAACCCTCGTTCGGAAACTGAGATACGAGCAAAAGAAAAAGAAACGGGTTTTGTTTTTTGCGGTGCTTTGCTGCTGACTACATTTCGAAATTCTTCTCCGGTGAAGGCGATATTCCCCCGAGTAAATTGGGACAAACCTCGTTCCCTTACTCTGCCCTTGGCTTGTAGCAGGACGAGCCCGTCTAACTTCTGTTTCCAGCCAAACGCTGTCCTTTTTTTTTTTTTTCGGCGTCTCATTGGCACGACGAAAATGCTGAGCTTCAGTGTGCCATCGCTTCTGCTTAGCGATGTTTTTTTTTTTTTTTTCCTTTCCATCCGCTTCTTTTTCTTGCGAGGCGTTGGGAAGAAGACCGTAGCACTTCCAGTGAACGTCTGACTACTATAAATGTATATCATAGAGCGGAGCTAACTGCGACACGCGTGCGTATCCACCGAGACGACCGCGTATCACGCCACCCATAATGGCGTTTTAAACATTTTATGGGGGGGGGGGGGGGGGGGGATTCGCTTAAAATTGGTTCAAGAGCAAGCTCACCTTATACGTTATACACACTCCACACGCATCCTCACATCACAATACTCTGGAGGCCACATATACATTGAGCAAAAAAAACCTCCAGCTCCCATTTATCTCCCATTTTCCTCCAACTTAAGTGCATTTTTCTACCTTTTCATTTCTCGTACTCTTCGGCTCTACCTTTTTCAATTTCCCTTTTAGCCGGGGCTGGCCGAAAATCTCCATGATACCAGGATCGTAGTAATTCCTATTCTACGTCACCTACTCAAGGCTGAAACGCGGCACTGATTGGGCCGTGCGCGACGCAAACGTTAGGCTGCAACTCGGGCTCGATCGGCGAAAATGCGAATCTTGGATCCCAGCCAAGCACTGACGCGGCACTTGTGTCTAATCTATTCACCGCGCTGGGCTGCAATAGGTGACGTAGAAAGTTCAGCACTACCGGCCTTCTTATCCAAACATACACACGTATACACACATAATGACTCGTTCACAATTGCGAAATACGCACTCGCCGCCTACTGAATTCGCTCGCCGATAAAAGACGGGGCCGTTTACATTTGTTGCCGCCTGCGAAGTGCTCGGCGCGAGCGTCTCGTAGTTTCCCGAACAGACGAGAGCTGATGAGAGCTCCCGAACCTCCTCCTTGCCCGCGCGCGTCTCGTCACGGTCGTCGCCAGACAAGCGTTTCGGGGCAGTAAAACTGGAAACGCCGATTGGCTGAAAAAAAAATGACGTCACTTCCGGTTTTGTTATTTTGTTGATTTTTAGATAACGTTTTAAAGTAAAAATATATAAAAAAAAGTACTTTTCTTGTTTTTGTTTGTTTTTACTTTTTATTTTTTTTTTCCTTGCTTGATTTTTTAATTTTGGCTGGTACGGTTCCGTTCTGTTCCGCCTTGGCGCCCTTGGCCGCGGGGGCAATGTTTTTGTTTTCGTTCTACGTTCAGGTGTTGAGTGGCGACGTATTAACCGTCGATAACCAGCTGAAGCAGCTCAAGTTCTCTAGTGGAACGAGGTTGACCGTGCGCAGTGGCAGCCGTTGACAACAAAAACAATGTATGCACTCAGCTTCGCCGGATGAGTGCCGGCGTCGATCGCGAACCGCCAGAGCCGCCAAATACCTCTCGTACATCTCCAAGAACACCAAGAACAGGAGGTATTAATAAAGGTGAGTGTTCACCGCACTTTAGTGCTTCAGTTCCGTTTGGAGTCGTTTGACATAATTTAGTCCGGTGCGTCCGGGAACAAAGGCGCTACCAGAAATGGCGGGAATGGTCGGTCGGTGCTGGATGCTGATGCCATCCAAGCGGATTTGAATTGGGTTTCGTGCGCTCAACGTGTCGATTTGTTTCTTGAGCTGCCTTTACCAACCGCTCGCCCAAAATCGTTCGGTAGAACATGCGGACGTGACGGCTAGCAGAGCCCTCCGCAAAGGCTTAGGAGCGCGCTCACAATTTTGGAAGCTTCCGTATGACCGCAAGTGCTCAATAAGTCGCTATAGCAATGATTGCATGCCATCGACACAGACTTCGATCCAGTTTTTCAACGAGACAGGAAGGCCCAACGAAGCAAGCGTAGAATCTGATGCTTCGCCTGTCACTGTCTGCGCGGGAACACGCCGAGAGGCGCTTAAACGAGCTGCCAGGGCGTAATTAAAAAAAAAAAAAAATCTAACGCAGGTCTGAATTACGCGAGGATCGTCTCGAAGCATGGTAGCCTCAACAGACGCTTGCCGCCACACGCGAGGAGAAAGCAGGAGGCCCGAAGTTTGAATGTGAAGGTAAAACGTGCTTTAATAATAATGATCTTTATCTGCACGTTCCTTTGTATGACTAAGGTGATCGTGCTGAGACACAATATAGCAGCGATTGCTCTCGAACAAAGGACAGGACAGCAGAAAGGCAATGAGAGGCAGGGGGATAACTGACCTCTCTGTTGTAAAACATTTTTCAGAGGAGGTGCGAAGAGCTGGCCCTCACTTTTTCAAGGCAGCCGCAGAACACTACGAGCCCCGAATCACTGCCGCGGCTGACTCACGCGGATGCTGTGCTGCACCCTGCACTGCACATGGTTCGAAGCAAACTTCAGGGGACCAGTGCATGCCCCTGATGCATCGTCGCGGTATGTTTTGTACTGCTTTTCCTAGCGGTGCACTGAGCAGTCCAATCTTGAAGGGAGCACGCGATTGCGTAGCCAGTGCTCCATGCAGCAAGGACCGCAAGCACCCGCGGAAGCTTGGAGCACACGCAGTGACGCCAGCAGCCGTGCACGCTGGCGTCGTCTGCTACTGTACTGTCCTTTCGTTCGGTGCGCAGAAAAAAAAAGGAGTGACCGCTCTGTTAAAAGTCTGATGGTGAAGGCATCCTTTACAGAAGCACTGTATGGCTCTCTGCACGCTAGAATGGGGGCTGTCGTTGATGCTCGCAGAGGCGTCGCCCACAACTAAGCAGACGACCAAAGTCCTGAGCAGGTGACTAATCGTTTCATTGTTCTTTGGTAGTGAAAGGTAGATAATGTGCTTCTACTCCCAGCTTTGTTTTTTTTTGTTTTGTTTTTATCACCATTTAGTATGTTACCATCAAAACAGCATCCTGGTGTTCACATAAATATGTGTTAACAATACCTATCGTCAAATATGTGACCTAAAGAGCCAACTGCGGCCGAGGATATCTTTTAAGTGTTCTTTTTCTCACAAAGATCCCTGGCATTGACTTTTTAGCCACGTACCTTGAGTCCACAAAAACAATGTGCTTCAGCTAAATGGTATTCACACAAAATACATCCTGACAAGCTGCTTTCACTCTCGAGCCTCGAAGAAATTTTGCAGTTTGATTTGAACTATGTTGCAGGTTAAGGAGGTAGGGTCAGGGAAAAGAAGGTGGGAGAGGAGGAAGCGGGCACAATGCTGGCTTTTTATTTACTGCCCCGAAACGCTTGTGTCGCCAGCTCATCAGCGGGGATCTGACGTCAGTAAGCGCCACTTCTCCCGTGCGTTCCGATTGGCTTGCGGCGAGAGAACACTTTTCCGCCGAGTTCAAAATTGGTCCAGAGCGATCTCGCTCTCCGCCGGATATTCTGCCTGCTTTCGCCGCCGGGCGTCAGAATTCTCGTGGATCCGGCCACCTGTTCGCAAGTGTTGAACGATGCATAAGACTTGAGGGCGATTCACACACTTGCGTGAGTCTGAAGGCCCGTTCACACTCTTGCGACCTCTTAAACCTGGGTTCCTTAAAACTTCTTAAACCAGAGAACACACTGGCGCCATCTATTGGGAAGCAGTGTAAACTCGGCGGTCCGTCATATTTTTTTTTTTTATTTCTCGCGCATTATCCTTTCTTTCTTGGCTCAAAAAACGTTTGTCAATGTTATAAACGAGTCTTTCTATGGGTATTACGCACATTTGATCTCGGAAATCCCGCAAAACCTACGCTCTTGTGAAATGCAGTTCCAGGGTCACCGCATAGATGCCAGTGTGTTCCCTCATGTTCCCTCATTCTAGAAACATTTAAGAAGTTTTAAGAGATCTCGTCTCTCTCAGTCGTACTCGGTCGCAAGAGTGTGAACGGGCCTTAAGCGAGTGCGACTGCAACGGCTTGCAACGTTAATTTTTTTTACGGATTGCTATGGCAACGTGGCGGTTGTAAGCGGCTTAAAATCCCGTTGCCATAGCAACCCGTAAAAGGATAAACGTCGCAAGCCGATGCAGCCGCACTTGGTCGAACGCACGGCAAGTGTGTGAATCGCTCTCTAGGGACTCGACTGTCAATATTTTGGTGAGGGTCAGTGTTGAGCGCGTGGAAAGCGCCAAGTCGCCTTTTCTTATTTAGTTACGTGGCCGCTTAGCGTATTTCGAGGAAACTATAGTTCCAGTAATTGGTGGAACATGTATACAGACGCGACGGACTTGTCGTCTGCTTTCTCTTACCGCTCTGGCGCGTGTTCACTGTGGCTCAAAAGGCAAGCATCGTCAAAGATACTGCATGTCCGTATGTTCGAATATACAGCACTATATGACACCTATTTCTGTCTGCGTTCAGCGCTTGTTACTCGTCGCTTTATCGGGACGAAGACCAGAAGCTTGAGCCGGTCCTCGAACACCGTTGTGGAACCGGCAAAACAAAGTGAGGATCGGTGGGTGACCGCACCGCAGCTCGTCGCACCTGGAGCAAAAACTCTCGCCGCAAGACCCAGGGATCCTGGGTTCAATTCCCGCCCTACACCGTTCGGATCTGGATGGGCATCGTACTGGCGTGCGGTCATTTATCATTACTGCGTGATCCCGTCTAAACACCCCAGGCTGGCAGTAGTACCGCACTGGCTGAATTTTCCATTTACAGCGGAGTCGCTAGACGTCCACCCGGACAGTCTAACCTTTCGCTTGCTAAACGTACACACAACACTTACCCTTTTCGAAATACAGTCCTCACACAAAATTCAGATAACAATGAACTAAAAAAAAAAAAAAAAGTTCAATGCTTTTACAAAACAAAACACCCCGCCTGCTTCTGGGCGAAAGACAAAACAATACAAAATAACGCGATCGTTGAGCTCTATACCGGACGGTCCGGCTCGTTTCTGCCAAACCATGATTGGATTTGCGGAGTAGCTTGTCCAGATCTTTTAGATCCGCTTGTTGCTTCTTCAGAGCCACTTATTTTCTGGCCGACGGGCACACGCCCAAGCGCGCGCAGACGATCCGAATGAGGGATGGGGAAAGTTCCCAGTGAGCGTTCAGTCTTGGAAAGAGAAGACACTCCGTCACGCTCTGGCAGCCGAGGATCCTTCCAGCGAGATGGAACGGGGAATGCGTTAGGCGGCCGCTTGCCTCAGTCCTGCCTCCTGCGGTACGCGCGTCATGCTGTAAGAACGAGCTCGCCGGTGCTGTGCAACGAGAAAAATAGGCGCATTTTCGTGAAGCTCATTTTTTTTTAAAAATTTGTTCTTGCTGCTTTTATATCTAGGTGGTCAGTCCTGGCTCTTTATTAGATACTTTGGGAAGTTCGAAGGAAGTTCACGACTGCTTCTATGGTAGGCAAGAAAAGTTTAAAAGTTACTATCTCACACCTTTTACCTTTGTTTTTAAACAACATAAAAAAAAACTGTTTGCAGAGTTCATTATTTGCACCCTTATCTTAGCGGCTTGATCAACAATGTGATTTTATAGTAGCCGAATAAAGTTGGTTAAAAAAAAGTCACATAGGTCGAGAGTGGCAAGTAATTTTTTTTTTGAAAACTCTTAGTTGAAGCATTAAGCACAAAGGAAAAACAAAAGAAAAAAAAATGTAACAATATGTTTTTATTTTATATTAAGTCCACATACAGCACAAATGTAGCACTATCTTGTAGGAACAACTCAAACTCACAGGAGGCAGCATACCCTCATGCTTCCTTTGTAATTATTAATAACTTGAGGCTGTTACCACGTGTTGCTTTTGTCGTTTGATGTATACCCATTAGCGAACGGAAGAGCCGCCATGTTTTACTTTTTCTAAAAAGCCAGTGCTGAACCAAGCACTGTTGTTTGTTCAGCGCTTTCAACGAGTGATGAGTCTCAATAAAGGATTTGGCTCGAAAACAAAATCTACAGAAGTAAAATAAGCATTACTTTCATCTCGCTCGTTATTTCTGGGCTGACATTGTGTTTGAGTCCGATCATTTTGCCCGCCACGCTGTTGCCTGGATCAGCTCCGTATACACCATGCAGTGATTGGCTTATAAGGTACTCTGCGAGAAAGTACACGAAGTCTTGGAGTACATATTCTAAGAATAGAGAGAGAACCTGCTTACGTGGAAATAACTATCAAAATTGAAGAAAGCTAATATGCGCGTCTGTTTTGCGAACCTGTATGTTGTATCTTCATATTTCAAACTGCCCGTGAAAAAGGCCCGTTTAAGTTCCTTTGTAGTTTATGTCTCCGTATATCTGGTTGTCTTGTGACACAGTCTTCTTTCCGCAGTGTCGACAGGTTTTTCAGGCGCCCCTGAAAACCAAGTTTCGAAATGTGGAGCGTTTTGTAATTTTTGCATGGTTTCGAATCCAGATTGGTTCACTTCGTGTGTAAAGGACGATACAAGCTTAGCGAGCGTCGAGCAGAGGCTAGGCTAAGTGCAGAGTCGAACAAACAGCAAAGATACGGCTGGAATAATGTTGCTCGTCGAGTAAAGCGTCCAACTATAGCATTAGTAGAAGAGTAAATGCGCGGGCGAGTTGCTGCCCTACTCCGCGTACTCCCAAACCGCTCAACCCTTTGGAGGCTGTTTCCGCGTATCTGGCCCGAGCACATGTGTGCTCCCGTAGTTTCTTCTCGGTGCCGGTCTTTAGAGCCCGAGGGTGCGACGTCGGGGCGTGTGAAATTCGCCAGGTCCCCCCCAAGCATCGCTCGGTGCCCACGGTGGCGCTGATTGCCGGCGGCCCGCCCTGAGCAAACGCAGGCGCTTGGGGCGTCGCGAAACTCAAGTACTGCGGACAGGAAACAGCGCCGTACACGAAAACGCCATTACGCCGGACGGATGGAAGAATGGATGACCCTCCGTCCTTGAATGGAAGGATGACCCGCGTCACCTTTTTACAATGTGTGAATGAGGTATTTGCACACTAAGTACATTAAATTGATCGATGTCTCAATGAAGGATGCTTTATAGGCAGGTGAGTAAAAAGGCCTCTCTCTGCGTTTTTTACAGCGCTTTACTGTGTCAACGTTCCTTCTATTGAGGACCAAAGTTTCAAGGCCACCACTGTACGGCGAGCATGTGTTCCAAAAATCCGTCTTTGACTCGTCCGAACGCAAGTCGTCCGAACGACTCGTCCGCTCGCCTCGTTCACTCCCATGCAGACAGCGAGGCACCGACATCCGCGCGGCGTTTTGTTGTTTCGTGAGGGAGGAAAACAAACGTTACGCCAGGACGCCTTAAGGTAGAAGTTGCCATTTCGAGTGCGCTCGTATTAGGTACGGTCGCACATCCTCAAGCCATTATTAAAATAAAAACCGGCTGGAAACTGTCGCGATTGGCCTGTTTACTTGTTTGTCCAAATTGTCAACTGAAGTTTAGTAAAAAAAAAAAAAAGTACGCATGCACGGTTTTTTGTGTTTGAGTACGCCCGAAACCCAGTACTTGTTCGCACATAAGTTAATTCGATTGTGGATTATCATGAAATAATTAATAAGAGGGTGCCACTCAGGATTGTCTGCGGAGTACTTGCTACACCCGAAAAGTTTTCGCGTGTCGGAGGAAGGGCATTCCTATTAGATTCAATAGTATTTAGCTATCTGTTACGATTCCTACATTTTATTATTTATCAATCGGCAAAGCTCGCGTCAGTGCATGCCCCGGTCATTTACAATTTTAGCAACAATATACTTATATGAGTAAATAACAGGGGAGGGTGTAAGATTCAGCGTCGAAGTAATTAAAAACAAATTCGATATGCGTGCACGACGCAAGCTTCTTCACCCAAGGAGATTAAGCACCACAATCTTTCGTATCTATCAAAACATATCTGGAAAAATTGTGTGC